CCGGCGCATTATGAGATTATATACAGGTTGGTTAACAAAGCTTGTTTATCTCTATTTTAGATTCTCAATAGAGATATAAAAACACATTGATTATACGACGATGAGGGGTCTATGATTTTATTTTTATTGAAGATAATTTTTTCATTAAAAAATTGCTTTGATATTCACTGTTGAGAATGATTTCTGGTATTCAAATCATAGATATACGAATAATTGTTACAGTAAAGGGAGTAAAGTGTACACATTTTCAGAACTTTTGTAAATAATTGTAAAATAACAAAAAAAAAATAAAAAAATAAATGACAAAACAAAAAAAAACTGGTATAAAATATTTTACAACACCAGTTTTTGTTGTAATTCATATAGAACATTATGTAAATATATATTAAATGTATTCATAAGCAGAATTAATAAATAACGTTAAAATATTTGATGTTAAATTATATAATTGTTGTAATGATGACTAACTATTTTTTTTAATAAATTACCATGCATGCCAACTTATATTATAATTATTATTATATTTATTCTGTAAATTCTGTAATAAGTATTGTTATCATGCCTCATGTATATACCTAACAATATTATATTGAAGGTAAATGGTCAATACTTGGATTACATTAGAACAAAGGTAACTCTTAAATTAAAATTCATATTTCATAGCACTGTATTTCAAAGAAATGTCAATAATGTAATTTTTTAGATTCAATTACTTAGGATAATAAATAAAAATATAGTTGCAATATTAAATATATTAACTGTGTAACATTGTAAACAATAAACTGTGGGTACATTGAATGATTATAATTTAGAAATAAAAATACAATATTATGTTAATAAAGATGAATTTAACGTAAAAAAAAATGTTTACAAAAAATGTTAATCAAAGTTCAATGTCATGGTTTTCTTAAGAGTTAAAATTATTTTAAAGTATAATGTGTATACAGTTTGATATTACTTCATCGTGCATATTGTTTTGTAATGACTTCAAACTATCTAAGTTAAAAAAAAAAAAAAAATTGATAAACAATAATACTATTAGGTATAACGAGTATTTAATGTTAAAATAATTGTCTCCTGTAAGTTGTTAATAATAGTGGAATAGATTATCTATAATTTATTTAAATTAAAAATAATCGTTATAAAATGTATAATTTTTTTCAAAATCACAGTATACCAAACCATAAACAACGGTTGTTATTTTTTGTAAGGCATGTAAATTATATTAACTATTTCGATCAATACGCTACATTATTATATTATCAGGTTGGTCGATTTATTTTTACATTATTAAAAGCCGGCTTGGTATATACGAACAAGAAACATTCTTGAAACAAAAAGTGATAATATATTGTTAAATTAATAGTTTTTGAGCAAAAAATAGCAGATAAATATTTTTTTAATACTTTATGATTGTTTTAATTAATAAACATTGAAAAAAATTAAATAATAAGGTATTTTTAATTAAATATTTATATTTTTTAATTTAATTACCATGATTTAATAATAGTTGATTTCGGTTTAAAATTATTTGTATTTTTTTATTTTTGTCTTTTCATTAACTATATCCCAAATGTTTGGGTATTAGCGATTTAAGTATTAATTATTAGCATCAGAAATAATATAAAAAATAATATTGTTGTACTACTTTTGAAATTTATAAATTAATTTTTATTTTGTAACGTTAGTTTTATGTAATTTCGATTAAAATAAAACATTGTATATATATATATATGAGTGTATGTGTGTGTACACGTGTACAAAATAAATAATTGGACTAAAAGAAAATAATATAATTATTATACGTTAAATATGAGCGATAATATGTATGCACATTAAAATCTATGATGATTTAAGTATCAGATTTGCACTATGGCAAAAAATCAACTCACATAAGCAATGGGCACTTTGATAGTTTAAAATTTAAATTCAACTTTTATAATTTTAAGTTTATGGTGAACCACAATCAGATGATACTGTCAACGTATCGCGATAAATATATTATACTCAATAATGGTTATTTCTGTCACAAATAATGATATAAGACAAAATATATTTATACGTTTGCTATTTAAATTAATAATACTATATCCTTTATCAAGTATAACAAAACAATGTAATTTAACACATTTCTATTAAAATAACATAAAAATTTAATTTGTAATGTTCTATCTAAACATTCAATAGCTGATTGTCAAAATTTGTGCTTTTTAAGTTATTTCAATATTTTTTTCAGTAGTTTGATTTGTATATACAGTAGAACCTCCGTTATACGAACCTTCTATCCGAATTTTAGAACTCGTTGAAGCACTCGTATCGATAATTTTATTTGTCAAAAATTATAATTAACATAATATGTATTTCTAATAATGTAATTTATGTAATAAAATATTAATAATAATAACAATAAATATGTGATATAAAATATTTAACTGTGTTTTAAAAATTTATTAATTGGGTTTTTTTAAAACTTCCAACACCCGAACTTTTGCGAATCCGAACTAGATGCGGTCCCAATTAGTTCAGATAATCGAGGTTCTACTGTGTATATATATATACTAGCTATCCTTGTGCACTTCGTTGCCCGTACAAAATGTATTTGTATTAAATTTGATTACCAAATGCTAACATTTAACGAAACGCGTGTGGATAAATACAATTTTTAGTTATATAATTTTGGGTATAGATGATATTTCCGACGCATAAACTTTATAAAGTTGTCACCTATCATTGCTTGTTTAATCATTTAACAGCAGTATTTTTTTTAAATTATTATTTTTGATTTTTTTATCATTCTGAATCTAACATTCGTAAAGTTTTTATAGTGTGAACCGAAAACAACGAAAAAATTGTATATTATTTTATTATATCAATTATTTATTAATATAATAATTTATAATAATAATAATTGGTAACATGGATGAAACAAAAATATTTATGTGCGTATTTTCCTATAATTATAGAGTAAAATGTTGCTATCAGCAATAGTGTAATGTACGTTGTAAAAATAATTGAAACTTCAATGCGGTTAATAGAATTATACTTCAATCTGCCATCTGGATTATTTATTTACTGTGGTACACAGAGTACTGTACTCTTTCACTTAATCAATTAATTTTATTTCATCGAATGCATCTATATATATATATATATATATATATATATATGTATATTGTTACATTATATGTACATAATACCTATAATCGCATACATAATGTAAAAATATATTTCACTCTATACAATTTCCAATAATTAACACTATTTTTACTAAACCATATACCTACTATATACAGTATAATGAAGTTAAGTTAGTTGAATAAGTTTAGTTTTTCATGAAATTAAGTTGATAATAATTTCGTTCTTTAAAAATTAAAATATTTTTATTACTAAAGTTATACCATTATTTATAAATAATACATTTTTATTATAGTATTTAGTTTTTAACCCTTGTAGGTATACAATATTATTGTTTACAATTTTTTTTTTTTTTTTTTAGATTAAGATTAGCCATCTATACCAAAATATATAATAAGAATATTTGGTATGTGAATTATATAGCGTGAAAGGTTGATTGATGGATGAAGCCACTTATTTAGTGACACTTTTAATTTTACAAATTAATTAAATTATAACTGTATGAAATATTTTTACTTATAGACTAATGACTATAGTGGGAAATATGTCTAATTACCCAGAAAATTTTAAATGAATAAAAATAATGAGTATCAAAAATAAAATCGATACAATAGGTAAATTTAGATTGAAAGAAGAAATAAAATAATTATCAATAAACTATTTTACTATGATTATCTGATAATAGATACAAAACACATTTCTAAAAATGTAAAATGTAGACCACAAATCGTCATAATGATATTTATTTTATTAATAAGATATTTAAAACAAATAGATGAAACACTCATATTTTATGTGTATAAACAAATTACGAAATGTATACTAACTATTTAGCTTTTAAAAAAATGTATAATTTAAAAATATCATTAGAACACTTCCAATTCGTGTACTAAAAGAACAAGGTTGTATATTTTTCTAAAAGAATCAAACTAGTAAAAATGTAGAGGATATATTTTTCTAAATGCACTTCACTGAGAAGCTCACTACAATAGATGCCGTGTCCAATTTAATAATAAATCGTTACATACATATTACACATATACAATTTTGAGCGTAGAACTATAGAAAGTTTAATACTTTTATATACTTCTACAATTATTTATTTTTTCAATGATTGTATTTATTTTTATATTATAAATATGGAATTTCATTCGAAATTTTACAAAAAAAAAATTCACGTAATTTTAGATTTTTGGATTATTTTGAAAAATTCTACAGTTTCCTTATTTTTTACTAACTATAGTGTAAATAAATAATTATTTACTATTATAAAGCATCCTCAAAGTTGGAAATTCAAAATTTTTTACTGTTTTCAAAGCGACGTTAGATGCAAATAAAACACATATTATTGTAAACCGATCATTTCTTTGTTTCATCCAGGATCTAAATAATAGTAATTATAAACACAGAAACATTTAAAGTGATTTAATGCATTTGTAAAATAATACTATTTGACATATTATAATAGGTTTATAATTTTACGAGGTTAAGGTTAGTTATTATTATTTATTATATATAACATAGGTGGCCAACTTGCGGCTAGCGAGCCACATGTGGCTCTCGTCATTATCAGATGTGGCTTGCGTCTTATTAATAAAATCAAAAATTTAAATTTTTTTGGTATTAGATTATAAAAAATTATCAAATTATGTAAAATGTATTTATAAACATTTTGGCTCTTAGTATTATTGTATTTTTCTATGTAGCCTGAGAACCTATTAATGTTGGCCACCCCTAATATATAATTTATATGGTACAATATTTTTATAAAGATAATTCGTAGATATAAATCATTAAAAAATCTTCACAATGGAATACAATTTTGATAGATTTAACTAATTTATTATAATAATTTAATAACTTACCTATAGGTGTTGATTGATTTTTGTATAGATTACAAGAACATGGGCTATCAGTAGTTGTATCAATAATATCTCTATTGATATTGCATTGCTGTATACAAATGCTAGATGAACCGCATTCTAAAATAATAAATACACAACAATTATAAATACATGATAAAAATATCTTATGTAAGCAAAATTATGTATACATATAATATACATATATAATACATAATAAATCGTATAATTTGGTAAAGAATTAGAATTAATTTTAATAATTGATAATTAAATGTGGTTTTAATATAAATTATATCACCTACTTATATCAGTAAAAGCAACAAATTAAAATAAACTATATTAAAATAATACTTGCAAAGTATTTGTTATTTTAAAAATAAATTTTATTCTAATTATACTTACATATGAAGATAGATTATTTAGAGGTATACATTATAATGTATACCTCTAAATATAATATTTTTTAGGAATTATTTGATTAATAATATTATAATTTTATAACTAAATTACCTATGGTAACATACTTAAAACTATTAAAACACGTTAATAATTATAAATTTTACATAATTTATTTTCTTTATATTCAATAAGTTATGTTATTAATGAGGTATATTAGGTAATCATTTTTTACCAGTTTTTATTGAAAACAAACTGAAAAGTTGTTATTGAATTATGATCACTGAATCGAAAATAATTATTCTAAAGTAAATTAATTCAATACGACTAAGTCTATATTACATTCCATTGATAGATCAAAGTTTTAGATTCCATAATTAGAGGTTGAGAGGTTGAAATAGTAACTCTGTGGTCTAATTTCTAATATTAAACCGTAAATGTATAGATAATTAATTTACAATGTAATTATTTAATTAAAAAATAACATACAAAATACAGTTGATACCAAGTAAAAAAGGATAAAAAAAAAAAATTATTGAGGTTAAAAAATATCAATTTTTATATACTTTTTTGAAATATAAGTATAGTGAACAAAGTCTATTAGATTTTACAGTGAAACATAACGCAGGTCATGAAATTTAATTCCTGGTATAGTAAAAGAAAAAACTTTGAAATCATTTTGATCATTTTTTGATAAATAAATTGCGTTAGAAATGGATTTTTGATTATGGCTTTTTAAATTTAAAAAAATCTTATCAACCACAAAATAAAATAGTGGATCGAAATGAGCTATCGGTAATACTAGACGAGTATCTAATACAATTTGAAATATAAACATGAAGATATATTTATTTGATCACGTAGTGTTGTATAATACATTATATTGTTTTATTAAAAAATATAATATAAAGCTATAATTGTAATAGTTGAAGGCACATACTTTTACATCTAACTTTAATATTTATCATAATATAAGCTTTACTATCTATACTAATATTATAAATACAAAAAATAGCTCCGTTATATTTTAATAGGTACACCACTGAAATAATAATAATGTTAACTTTTGTGGTTGTTACTTGAGCCTGCTAAGAAATTCAAAGGCCACTTTTTTATAAAAAAAAAAACATCAATTGGTGAAACTAAATAACTACTGTAGCTTGTTTAAAAATAAACTGTGAGGATAGAATTTTAAAATTTAGAATATATTGACGTTATTATGAACATAAGTAGCTTAATTTATTGTAAAATATAAGTTAGTAGTAGTGGCCAGGTAAAATAAATTAATATTTGCATTCTAAATGACTGACGTAAATTAAGGTTTAAAATAATATTACAGTGATAAAATATATGGTAAGTAATGACAATAAAAATTAAAATATTATACAAAAATATATTATCTCAACAACGTGTAGATATTATACTAATAAATATAGTGTTTAACATATTACTATGCAATTCGTTAGGAAAAAATAAATATTGTTGATGGATTACAAAAGCAAAACAATTCATATTATAAACTAAACGAAATTCTGAGTAAAACCTACTATATATAAATATATATAACCTACTATTCACTGTATATCAATGAACTTTTACCTAAAAAATGAGATGGGTAAAACTATGTATGTATATTATGAGTTTTATCTAAGAAGGATTTTGATTGTAAACAGTCTAGTGTTCTCCGTACAGAAAATTAAATTAGAAAATTTTGCATTTGAGAACGTAAAAAAATTTAAAATTACATATTAAGCCGACAAAAACCGTGTAATCTTAGTAATACTTAGTATTGCTTACAATTACCAAGTTTTGACATTTTCATAAGCACACAGGATCACTTAATAAATTATGGTAGTTAATAAACACGTTAATACATTTTTTATTTAGTTTTTATTTAATAACAAATATTTATAGAGTGAAATATATACATAAAATACTCAAAATCTGACAGGAAACTGAGATTCATAACAGCTAACAAATTATATTCAGAATCCTCTTTGATAAAATCATTATGTCGCACAATAGTTATGCCATAGTGGTATCCATAAGACATGTAATATATCAATACAGTACATACATGTTTTATTTTAATACAATAGATCATAAACTCCGATCAAAATTTCTTTAAATTGATATTGGAAATATCACATATCTCCAAATCATACCACTATATTTTAGTATAATTTAAAACATTTTTATTTTTATTAAAATTTAGGGCAGATATCCCGATGGTAAACAATCAAAATAATATTATTAAGTATTAAATGTATCTGAAGTTGACACAAACAATTAAACCGAAAATAATATTTACAAAAAAATTAAGTAGGAATACTATGAATAATAGCAAAAATACGGTTTTACATTAGCAATCTACTTCATTTTTTCTAATTATTAACGGCTTAGTTAGTGATGTTTAATGGTATAGAAAAATGATTTTCTTTACGTAAACAAAAGTAAAATAGCTAAGGAAATACAAGGAATACATATTATCTGCTGTTAACTTGCTGAGAGAACTTAAATTGGCTTGAAATGGTAGTTAGCTGACGAAGGTAATTTTAGAGATAATGAGAACATTAGAATAATTATATAATATAGGTATATTTAAATAATCTTCTAAGACATCTAAAGCGTAAGTAGTGCACCGATTTACTAAATTTAATTCAATTATTAACAAGAGAAAGTGTCATCAAAGGGAGGCTTTTTTCTTCAAAATGTTCATGACAAGATAATTGTAATTTTTATCACACATTCTTATTGTGTCTATTAATACAAATTTGAAATAACTTGTAAAAACAAAAACAAAAAAAAAAATTAACCAATTTTTAATATATATTCAGAAAAATATAATAATTTTTATTGTAGACGATTTATAAGGTAAATACGATTATTAGTATGTGAATTTTATTATAAAGATAAATATCTACGAAAAAATGCTCTAGGACGTTGTACAAAGACAATATGTACTACTAATTTATTCTGAGTAAAAACACGTCAAATGATACAAAAACCTTTTAGTGACTTGTAATAATACATTGCTTAAACACACGAATAGGAAGATTGTTTTATTGTATTTAAAACATTACTTAAGTTACTAACAGTATATTGTGCTTTATTACCTAAATACGAAATATTTAACCAAATCTATAAAGAAAATGCATAAGGAGTTCAACGATAAAATATAAATAATATTACTCATAACCTAATTATTCAGTTATATTCTATTACACCGAAATATATAAACATAAAAATAAGCATGAAATATATTGGAATTTGACGAGTGGAGCCATTTTACAACTTGAGTAACGCAATGTAGTGATACATACATTTGTATTTATAACAAACTAATAAATAAAATTTAATTTAAAAATCATTTGACATGGAAAATTAAGTTTTATCTTAAAGTCATTCAGACATGATAAATGTTCTTGAAGTTGTTGAATTAATTTCATTAATTTAAATAAAACTAATTTCATTTATGCGAATATCTCAACAACTTAAATATAAACGAATAATTGTTAAATATATTATACATATAGATGCAATATGCACACTTATATATTGTAGGTACATACAAAGTAAATTAAAACTAAGAAAAATTTACTTCAAGCAATTTATCTTTTGAATATTATATTATTCATATTTTGAAACATGTAACTGAGTAAATTTATGTATGACTGGGAAAAAAATTGATATTTCATTGCATTATGTTTTTATATTCTGTGTACGGTACCTACATCTGGAAATGAGATAACACATACACCTACGTGAAACAAAATAAAAAAAAACCTCAATTTAACATGTTAAACTATGTATATGGATTTGAGACACATCGTTTTGTGAAAAAAAAAAAACTATCTAATTCCCAAGGGTTGACCGATAACAACATACAATTATATGTAACTTATTGTTCTTTATCTTAGTCGTATATATTAATAACAGTAAATCAATAAACAGTTTGGATTCTAAAATCTGTTTGGAATTTTTGAAAAAATAAATTCAAACAACGATGGGTACAAATGGTTTTTAATTTTTTTTTTTTAAGCTTACAGAACACTTTTTCAGTATATTCCCAAGAGTATAATGTATACACCTGTATGACCAATTTAAGTTTTCTTATCGATCAGTGGTTTTCAAATGTGGTCTAAAATAATGTTTCTTTTTTTTTTTTTAAAAGAAGTAAAAAAGGTACTTTTTTAATATTATAAGTTTGTTGATAATCTATATAAAACTATATTATATATATATAAATATATTTAAAATCAAAAGTATGTCTAATAAATTAAATAAAAAATTCAAAATTAACTGAACTAGAAACCGTTTAAAAACCAAAAACTAACAATAACTAATGAAATCCTATTAATGGAAAATTTCTTCAACGAGAAAAGTGTAAATATTTCTATAATGTAATATATACTTATCCATAGTTTTGATTAACTGTATATAGATTGAAACCACTTTTTATAAAAAAAAAAAAAATAATATACCTGTGTAAATTATTAAAAAAAAAAATGACAGTTTATATTTAACGTTTTAATTCCACATAATTCAGATTATTAAATCAAACTTATAAATTAAATTAATATATTGTTTATATCGAATTCATATTATAGAGGCATTAATAATTGTATAGAATTGTTTTGTTTTTACAACCTTAATAAAAAATAATATTTTCAGTTAAAAATGTTAAAATACACTATTGAAAATATTCATTTTTATAAAATAAATATGTATTTTATTATTTTCTAGAGATAATTGTTTTTAAATTAAATGTATTTTAAAATAGCCCAATATACAAATATCATTGAATAAATAAAATACAAAAGTATAATTATATTCTTTTATAAATATAATTTTAAATTTAATTTTCTATATTACGAAGTACCACCAATGAGTGGCCTTTTTACTCCAGACATCTCCAACGACCATATAATAAATTACATCACTTATACTTATTGTAAACTGCTTTATAGATTGTATAATAAAATTATTTTATAAAAAAAAAAAAAAAAATGTTCTATAGCTATGAGGTCGATGTATTTCAATACTAAATGTTTTTTAGTAAACTCAGCATAAACCACAATTCCTTAACAATTTAACTTGAATCTCATTCTTCAAATTATAATAACAAATTAATTTATCCAATATAATATTAAAAAAAAATTAACAATTTAAAAGTAAACATTTATAAACATTATTATATAGCTCACGCAAAACATATTGTACTATACTTTTTCAATGAATTAAAGTGCTATAATTAATTGTAAGTTGAATTAAAGGATTATAAAGAAGATAATGTATCATAACTTCAGTTTAATATATCAAATGGATAGAATTGAATGGAAATATATTATAATATACATTGTATATAGTATATCATAGCAATACAAATTAAATATTTATATTTAAAAAATGATTGTATTTACTTTATTTTTCCTGAATTATTATCATTATCAAATTATATGCTCAAAAATAGAATACACTTTAAAAGAAACATGGTACACACGTTAACTATTTAAATATTTCTCAGAAATTAAATATAATATTTCAAGTTTTTACGAAATGTAAAATAAGATTCCATTTTATAATATATTAAAAATGAACCATTATTTATGCAGTGCAAAAAAAAATATTATAACTAACTTGTTTCTTTTTGTATATTTTAAAATTAAAAATTACATATATTTTGACATTTTACATCACCATTCCCACTACATTTAACCCATCTCAACATGAACTAATATAATTAAGAATATACCAGAATAAAGGAAATTAACTACGCATACTCTGTTTTTGTATATTTTATGTGTCATACAACATGTAAATAACTTTTGTTGGTATTTGGTTTTTTTTACGTGACATAAATAATATAATATAATTCAACTCAAAAATCCTCGTATGCAGATAGTAATTACAAGACTAGGATTTATAAAGGCTAAAATAAAATAATAATTTAAAAAAATATGCATGAATTTATTTTAAAATACTTGGATAAGCGCTTAATTATATCTACAGCAATAACAACTTACAATTGTTTTAAATAAAAAAGAAACTTTTAGTACCTATTCATTATAAACGATAATCAAACCATCTCAATTTAAACAAAATAATACTTAAACATATTAACATTTTAGATATCTGTTAATCGATATTTTTACAAGTATTGAAAGTAAAAAAATTATAGTTTAATGACAAAATTATTTAAGTACTTCTACTATTATAATAATAGTTTCGGGAAAATTACATATGTATCACCCTATGCACTTCAAGTGCATTTCAGTAGCTCAACTATGACCTTAATTGGCCTGGTCCTTCAGGGTATAGGGGCTTATCGTGGATCTAAAAACCCGACATCGTAAAACAACGATGTTAAGAAACTAATACAAAAGTCTCGAACAAGAGACAAAATAGGATTAACGAATGGAATCAGGAACAGATTATGGGATTTTAAGATCGCAGTATGTAACACACTCAATTTCTTTTGTACAGGCGAATGCAAAATCTTGTATAGGTATTGGCAAGCTATAACTTAACAATAGCAGTGATCCGAGAAATGAGATGAACCGGCGTTAAACAAGTTATTTTTGTTGGAATAACTTTTTCCTATTTATATTAAAAAAAAAAAAAAATGTTGAAATAGGTTTTGCAGTACTTACAGAAAAAACCGTTTGTAATTTAATTCAATTTCATACAGAAACGTAAGAGTACTACAAACTGACAGTTGTGCCTAACGTACAATTAGTCAGCACAAGTGGAAGTCATTGATTATATATTTAAAAATGTGAAAACTTTTAAATACTTCTGATTGAATTTAAACCAAAGAAGAGACTGTAACATACAAATTATTAGTGAACAAGTATAGCAAGCAAAAAAAAACATACTGTTCTAGAATAATTTATTTCTAAACGAATAAATATAATAATTCACACGGCATTCGAATAATCAAAGTTAACCTTGATATAGTATGTCGAATATGACCATTGAAAAATAAAATAGAATAAACACTGATAAGAACAAAATAATAAAAAAGGACGACCAACTTAATATAATAATAATAGTTGGTACCAAAATATCAATATAACACTAACAAAATAAAAATATATACATAATATTAAAATAATAAATATAAATTATAATGTTTATAATTAAGTTCATATCATAAATTACTATGCGTATGATATTTTAAATAAATAAGTTTATAAACTAATAATATGACGAAATAAATAAATCATGATGATAGTGTCTATTATTTCTTTAGTTTTAAAGTAAATAAAAAAAAAAAACAAATCCTTTATTTCTCGTTTTTCCTAATTATTTTGCACAACACCTATTTAGGTTTATTATTATTTTTTTTTTTTTTTTGATATGTTTGCTCTTAACATGTGGTTTTAAACTCTGTTTTAAATATCGGTATACACATTTACCAAGGATCTAAATTACATCTTGAATAGGCTAAATATATTTTGAAAAATACAGTTATCCTATTTTTGCTTAGTATAACAATATACACTATATTATAACCATAATATTACTGTAGTATTATACTCGCTTATTGTTACCACTTAAGAAAAAAAAAGAATATGCGAACGCACACAAATTTTAAGCAGATGTCGTAACTACTATTTATAATACGTCACAATGTTCACAACGTTTCAAACGCCACGCGTTATGCTTTGCATGCAGCATAAAATGTAATATTAAACAACATAATGATCGTGTTTAATATATATTTATATATATATATTATAAATGCTATAGAATACTTTGGTTAACTTACCAGCAGTGACGTTGACCACGGGTACTTCACATTTTCCGCCCGTGAATCCAGCAGGACAATTGCATATCGCGATCGACCGACCAACATGTCTAAAAGAACATACATATTATAAACGTTTTAGAGAATCCCATTAATTAAACTTCACGACTATTTGTTTAGCAGCATAGGCCCTGTCAACGGTTTACGCAGCTCGTTTATCACTGTTATACATATACATATATTATATGAAAAATGTATGCGTGCGTGTGTGTGTATAGCAAACCGCTTCTACTTCCCCAAATAATATAATTCGTGAAGTTTTTGAAAATATTATTATTTCTGTTATTATTAAATTATAATATTCCAACCCTAAATTTTTATATTTTTACTCTTAAAGTCAGCCGTTGCTTTTCACAACCGGAACGTACAGTCAAGTGAATTATGCATATTGTTACATTATATAAGACGATAATATTAAAGGTTGACATTTTATTTATTTAATTAACGTCTTTAAAACAAAAATATAATGCTATTAAATTTATGTAAAAAAAGGTATTATCAAAAAGTTTATACTTTTTAAGAACATGTGTGTTTACTTTTAAAAATATCAGGTACTTTGTAAAATAATATAGGTACTCCAATGATTGTAGACTTCGGATTCTAAGAAAGAGTGCTTACCATCGATGATTGCTCCACTGAATATCGTCTAGCGTTGTCGTTGGAAAACACTTAAAAAAAATGATTTTTTATATCAAATGGTCTTGTCGGTTTTTGATAGGGCCATCAAATCAAAAAAGTACAGATGAGTATTATTATTGCCAACAAAATGGTTAGAGCTATATAAAAAGCATAGTTTTTTTTTTTTAAATTTTTATTCATCAAAACCGTTAAAATAATAAATAACATTTAAATGCTCAATGATTTATGTGACTTGTCAACAGCGTTGTAAATACTAAGCATTTAAAAAGGCAAAAGTTTTGGATAATTCCCTCAACGACCGAATTCTACTTCACTGAATACTCAGTGCTCTGATTTCAGTCCACTATCGCAAAGCACATTGTCCAAAAACATTTTAAACCATCAAATACGGTTTTAATCCTTCGCGCGCATAGACCCTATTTTAAGTACGTTAAAAATTAAAAAAAACCAACATACTACACTACCTATGTGACTATGGTTCGTGTTTAATCGTTGGGTTATAATATATTATACCAATATCATATTAAATTAATGTGGATGAATAATAAAATTATTTTATTGAACAATTAATTGTAATTTTAAATTAATTACCAAATATAATTAGTTTAAATTTTAAGTAATCATTGTTTAACATTTCTAAAAAAAAACAATTTTAATTATTTATATTCTAATTTCCCCTTTTTTAATTTTCTTAAAATTTAAAATCCAATATATCCAATAGTTCTATTCTAAACTAAAATCGAAATTTCAAATATTGTGACGAAAATTCTGAGAAACATTTATTAATTTTCATCTGTTTTTAACACATGTGTATACAAAATAATACGTATTTAATTATAAAATTGTATGTATAAATCATTATTTCTTTGTACCTATTCTCAATATATCAATGTGTATAGTATATTATATAATTTGATTGAATTTCATATTCTGCTGATTCCCTATAGGCAATGAAAAGTTGAACACATAATATTATAAACCGTGGCGTAATAATTGATTTTGGATATTTTAAACTCCTACCAGTAAAATTAGCTTAGTGTTTTATTTTTTTTTTCTATTTCTAGAAACTGATTATCGGTGAACAAGAGTAGAATTAAGAATGAAAGATTTTTGATTCCTATGAAACCATTACCATCATCTAATTTAGTTTAGAAGACTATATTATTGTATTAACTTAAGTATGATATTTGTATTATTCATATTATGTACAACATTTAATTAGTTTAATAATAAAATATTGTCATTTCATGAAACTAAAATGGACAAATTTTTAAAGTAAAATCATAAAAAAATTTAAATAAAAGATGTTTTTACATAATTCACATATTTCCATTAAATGAAAAAATTAAAAACCTATCTTATAATACTATATTTTTTTACGTTATATTATAATCAAAATAATTGTATGTTCCTTTATTATTCAGACTTTTGTGCTCTATCCACTAAAAGATATCTAATGTTTTGTATGTGTGTAGTAGTAGCAGTGATTTTTATTTTCGGACATAGAAAAATTGTCTAAGTCTTAGATGCATAACCTTATATGTGATAAAATTAATCTAACGTAACCAACAGTACTTACTGTCAATACTTTTTTTATATAGTTTGTCTTTTTTAAAACTGATATTAATTTTTTTATTTTAACTATTTTATTCATAATATAAAAAATAAAATTACCAAAACATTATTTATTTATCTATCAGTGAATAGTCGACACTAGCAACTATGCTATTAGTTTTTATTATGTCTCATGAATTGTTTTAAACATTAATCCGCGATATGCTTTGCATGTGTCGACTTGTGGTTGTACAAGAGCCGAAGGGAATAGGGTCAAAACGGGACAAAACCTAGAAGAGAACAAGCGTAAATGCTTGCTCAGGTGAATATTTCCACCATCCTTCGTCATCATTTCCAGGTTATTGTAGGAAAAACGATAGGCAAGCACGATTATCGTAGAACCCAGTGGAAGGAAAACGAGATGATGATATAAATGAGCGTTCATTTATAAAGCCGTCCATCGTGACATGTCAGTCACCATAATATTATAGAAGGTAGCCATAATAATATTAATCTGATAGAAAAGTTTAAATTGTATTTTTCCAAATATTTTCTATATCACTAGGTATGTACAGGCAAATGTGAAGGTTTAATATGTTGTTGACATTAGTTATGATGCACAAGTGATAAACACGTGAATAAAATAATATTAATATTATACTCGTATTATGATGTTTTTTGAGAAAAATTGGGAATCAAAGACTATTGCTTCTTCATAATATATTACGAATATACAAAAATAAATAATTATAATAGAAGTTCAATTCCATTATACAGACGCCAAATTATTGAACACCAAAAAAATAAAATCGATGTAAACATTTTTAGCATAAATGACTAACAAGCGTATAAATATTTTCAAACTTTTTTAAGCCATTTTTAGATTATGAGTGAAGGAAAAATACTGTATATTAAATCTAACAACAATATATTTTTTTAAGTTATTTAGAAAATATTTTCGATCATAAAAATTACTCTTAAAGTATTGTGCAAAGGTATTCAATATATCAGAAAATTGGAATATATGAAAATGTATTTTTGTAAAAATTGCTAAGTGAAGGTAATATTATGGAAAATATTTCCATAGAGACATAATTTGTATACAAATAATATCAAATTTATTGGATTTCATATTTCTTAGAACACAAAAAAAAAAAATTATTAAAAAATAATATTTTTTTTACGCATTTATTATTTAAACAAATGCGTATACGGTCTTAAAGAGATCACAGTTGTACACGTGTGCGTATTCCTATAGTTTCTACAGTATCCACATAATAATGTACATTACAATATTACGCTATTGCTAATTTAAAAAAAAAAAGTTAAAAAAATATTGGTTCATGTATAACTAATCATATTAATAATGGTTATTATTGGTATAATATTCCACTAAATTTATTTTAGTCTACCTATAAATATATTTTTATCATAGTATTTGTTAACACTCTCTACTATTATATATTTATTGTCAATGTAAAAAATAGCATTAGTATTAAAAATAATTATATAACTTTAAAAATTATATGGCAACTTTAGATGTTTAACTAAATAATGTTTTAATAAAGATATTGACTATATGTGTAGGATAAAATATATAAATTATATGAATAAATATGAATATATTATACACGCGAATAAGTTTGATTAGTAATATTTTTTATTTTTTTTTTGAATGTATATATTATTTTTTTTAAATCAAACAATCGATTTTTTTATCATATCAATTTATTAAAAATATAAATGTCTTTCTAGGTGTTATTTTTATTTAATACGTAATATATTTCATAAAAATGAATAATAATATTTAGTAAATGTCATATTAACGGGTATTCATTTATTATTAATAAACATTCGTTTTAACATTATTACTAGATTTAATAATATCTTTCTTTCTATAGTTTTTTTATAATAATAGTGTTAAAGTAAAAATATAAATTTCTCTTAAATTAAACAAGTAATTATCAAGAAAATATTATAAGAATGCAGGATATTATGTTTATGCATATCAAACATTGTTGTTTTTAATATATTATCACATATAAAAGAATCATCGAAAATGTTACATAACTCTAAACTTTTTACTAGTAACATACGTCGAGTATTAGGTTGACCTTTAATTTTTTAGTTTTGAACCGTGGCATTGTTTGACATTGTTTCAAAGTAAAAAAAAATATATAAGAAAAATAAACCTAATATTTTTATAGATATACAACTTAGTCAAAATTAGTACGATTTAAGATACATCGTTTTAAAATAATTCGTGTTAGGATAATATTTTTATATTACATACTATAAACAGAATATTAAAATTACAAATAACAATCGTAAAAAGTAGGTATTTAAAAACTTTGAAAATAAATAACAATATATTACATAACTTTTGTATTAAAAAAAAAAAAAAAAAAAAAAATTATCAAAAGATTAAAAACATAATATTATTTGGTAATTGGTAATATTTAGATTTCCTAAATTATTATTATATAGATAAAACATAAATTAAGCAAAATATGTCTCGATTTTATGATGAACATGGGAAAATAATATTTTTAATTATTTATGATAAATTAATTTTTCAATACTACTCAGCTGTAAAAGTATTTTTTGTGTTTTATAAAATGTAGCAAAAGTGTTCCAAGAGTAAAAAAAGCAATAACAAATATGAAAATGTATTAATAAAACAACTTTATATTATTTTTTGTCACTCGAAAAATTATGCGTTTTAGTTTTGAATTACAATAAATATTTGAAATGAAGTTTACAGTTCATTGAACAAGCTACTCATATAATTTCAATAAGTTGTTATGACTCTCCAGGATCAATAACAATTAAACCTATAAGTTCATTATGATACAATAGAAATTGCATTCATCTAGCAATATATATGGTAACAAAAAACTCAGTTATTTTGTTATTGCAATTTATTTTCATTTAACTTATTTTTATTTAAATTACTATACAACAATTTAAAGCTTTTAGAAATTATACATTTATGATTAAACAGTGATTTCTGTTTTTTTTTTTTTTTTGATTATAAGACATATAGATTTTTAACTTTTTTTTTCAATTTCAATAAAAATGATTTAATAAATGTTTAACAACTAGGCACATAAATCATATAAAATTAGTTTCTTTTTTTTAATTAATAAAACTTAATTATGTTTTCTGAAAATAGTACAAAAAAAAAAAAAAAACTATTAAGAATATTAACAGTTGATAAGAATGAAAATAAAACAAAAATGAAAAAATAAAGAAAAAAGTTTCAACCTTTAACATGCAAAACTCAGCAGAAAACAAAGTTTTTGAAAAGTGAATCGACTAATCGTGTTGGAAAAAAAATAGGTAAGTAGGTTATTAAATAAATATACAAGATTATGACAAAGCTAAAACGTTTTTAGCAATTTGATGTTTTTGAATCTCAATTTTATATTAGGAAATATATAAATATAACCGAAACTTCTCTTATTATATAATAATATATAATAAAAAAGTGTTTATATAGCATATTATTGAAGAATTTAGTACTGGTCAATTAAAAACAGTACTCTATATCTTAAGAAAATTTTTGTGTATAAACTAAAAAATCAAATATTTTTTACGTGATATAACTTTTTGACTTATTTATGTAAATGGTATACAATTATCAAAAATACAAGTTGATAACGAAGTATTAACTTAACTAACAAGTATAAATGCTTAAAAAGAATAAAATAATCATAAGATTTAAACTTACTTGTAACATATAAGGAATTAATAAAATAAAATGGTTTTTTTTATCATTTATTAAATATAATTTAGACGTACAGTTTTAATATTTAGGAATTCAAACTATTTATTTTACAATTAGATGTAAACAAATACCAATGATGATTAAATAGCATTGCATTTGTTTTTGTTTTTGTTTTTTTTGTATATAAGAACCTATTTTTGAAGAAACTTTAATAATATTATAAATAATTAGTTTATAACTAGAAAAAAATTACCTGCAAACTCCACCATTCTCACAGGAATCTGTATTATTGATCTTGCAAATTGGGCCATATCCACAGTCCTCACCAGAAAATCCAGGAAAACATGAGCATTTATATTCTCTGAAATTAAAATTAAAATATTTAGCGAACCGTGTTTAATGTTTTTACTTTATAATCAACCTAAAATATTTAGTATGGAAAATTGATATATTTCAATAATACTTAAAATATAGTACAATTTACTAAAAATTAATTTAAATTTAGATTTAATTTATGTATTTTGTTTTGAATTTCTAAAAATTCTCTATCTGAATTTTCTATAATTTAATGTTATAATTGTGAATAAATAAAATATTTATTAAATATCTTAGCTATATTTGGAAGCTGAATATTAAGCAGTCATTAGTTGTATATTTTATTTGACGTATATTGATATTTGTGCATAATAATAATATGTATTAAAATCTGATTACGCATATTAAATCAACAATAAATTAATTTAATGATAATATATATATATCAATAATTTTTTCATAATTATTATACTAATATTGTAAGACAATATATTTTACAAAGTTTTAAAAAAGTAATATAAACTTCTGAGAAGTAAAAAGTAAAATAAAAACTTAAATTAAATGTATCCATTGTGTAGAATATTCGTTTAAAATAAACCTAACCAAACTATGGTCTGGCCCGCCCACATTTCTACTACAATAAATTACATTACCTATGCCACATGACTGTATTAAGACCCCAAAGATAAATTGATTGGAGCACATTAAAGAGAAATAAACAATTTAAATAATAGACAGAATACCAAACGCTTATTGGCCATGTTATATAAACACGTTATATACAAAATGCAACTTAATTTTTACTATAACTTGAATAAACAAAATAATACACATGTTTAGTATTAATTATAATAATAATAAAAAAAAAAAAAAAACACCTCGAGTAAGACATATTTTATGATATATTTTGACCTACTTGACCTTGTTATAAGTATATTTATTAAAGAATAAACTATTTGGTCAGTATTTGATAATTAATTTTTAGTAATACATTATAAACCAATGCTTTTAGAGGTTACAGAAAAGTTTACAATCAAAATAAATTTCTTATTAGTTTACATGTAGTAGGTGAATAATGGAAATCGAATAGGTAATAATTATGCAGGCAGTCATGAGCACTTCATTTACTTGACTTTATATGTAGGTAGACTCAGATTTATACACAACTAAAAGTACTTATCTATGTAATAATGTGGAAAATATTTATATGTTTACCAATTGCTATAGAAATCAAGATATGGTATGTTCCTTCGCCCTATAAAATACAGCCTTTGAAAACGTTTTATAAATTAAAATTCCTATTATATTACTTATGGGTAAAATTTTATGAACAAAATTAAAATAAATAATATATATAATAAGTATTTTTAATGTAAATAAATATTTATAATTTATAATAACACGATGATATTTATATAATAATCAATAATAAATATCGATGAAATGATATAATAACAAGTATGCGATTATTTATACAAAATAAAATAATAAAAATAGTTGTTTATTATACTTGTAGCGATAACTCAGTAAATTGAAAGAATAATATTAATGCCGAAATAAATATTTGTTATGCACGAATAAAAAAAAAAAAAAATATATTAACTCGATGTATATATAATGTGTATAACGATATTATACTAGAGAGTATAATACTTAGTTTGTATAATGTAAACACTTTTATAGTTATGTAACTGTTTTTTTTTTTTTTTTGTTATTAAATTAAATAAATGTGTAGGTTCTAATGTTAAAATGTGTAATAGAACGAGTCCATTCTATTGATTTTCTTATCATTAAATCTATGTTTTAATCACGAGTGATAATAAAATAATTAAAATATATGTTCATTTTTTTTTTTTTTAAGAAATTATCCAGTAACCGAACTTTTGCTTAAATATAAACATTTTAAAATAAACATTAATTTATAAAATTAAAAACTTTAAATTATATAAAAGTTACATACGTAGATTGTTTTCTTTTTAGAAATAATTTACCTATGCTTTGATTTAAGTTTTTATATTTTGTAAAAGTACTCTCACATTCAAAACGACTTCATTAGTGTATAATATAATATGTATAAATATAATTGTATGTAAAATTTAAATTTGTTTCAATATGTATTTATATATAATATTATATTCATGCTATCTGCTCATTTTTTTTATAACCAATTTAAGTTTTTAAAATAATTAGTTTAATACATTTTTCTAATTACTTAACTTAAAAGCAATTATTGGTTTTAAATTATATACTTTATAAATAAAATTCACATAACTAAGAAGATAGTTGGCTTTATCTTATTTGTATTATATTATGATCTTCCTTTTGAGTAATTTATTATTCTAACCAACAATTATCATGCTCGGATAAAATACTTGGCGTACAATGCCTAAAATACAATAAATTTCCGCATGAATTAATTCAACTTTATTTTTTATATTTGCTATAATGATGTTTATTTATTAAAATAAATTTTGAAATTATAGTTTTTTAAAAAGTTAGCAGATTAGTGTTATCGGGTACATATTTGTATATTACAAATATATATTGGTTTTTTGAGAGTTTTACATGGATAGACATTTTTTTAAGAAAAGGCTGAATTCGATTTTTTTTTACTTTTAATAAGATTTATGACATGTGTTGCGACACCATCACTAATACGGGCAGTGTTTTTATGATTTTTATAGAACCCTTTATATCCACGTACGGAAAATTATTTGTTGGGTTTAGGCTAGTTTCTTGAAAACAAAAAAAAAAAAACTATTGATTTACTATTTGATTTCACATTGAACGTCAGTGAAATATGTAAGAAGGCCATAGATATTCTATTAAATTATTTGATCCGTCTTTGAAATATGTATTGAGAGTATGATTTTTTTCATTTTAGTGTGGTGTTTGGCTATCTTGAAAAAAGAATAATTAGAAAAAGGTACTTGGAATAATATATGTGAAAATTTTGATAAACGAGATTTTATTGTTCTTTCAATTATTTGTGGACAAATATCATAAATTAGATTAATTATAGATTTAAGATCTATGTTAACGAGTTCACAGAGTAAGTGAATTATTAGATTGTTTTAGTATGTATTTAAATTTAATAAAGTTTATTGTGATGTTCTGACTATTGAAAAAATAATATTTCAATAGGTTTTAATTTATAATGCTTCACCTCTGTTTTCAGAAGATCTTGTGTATTTTTAGTTTATATGAGGTTTTTATTTTTCTAGACTTGTGAGGTTAGGTTGGATTATAAGATTTTTGAGATGATATTCGGGATCTTTTGACGTGGATGGTAGATGTGGTATTGGGACAATTATATTCTTCACAAGGGACTTCGTAATGGGATGATATTTTTTTTAAATTCATTGCTTGTGTAATTTGGTTTTTGTAACATTGAAGTTTGCTCTATATCGGTGTTTTGGTTTTTTTTCTTTTTATGAAGTTTTGCTTATTTGTATTAATTGTATTTATTGTTAGGTGACATTAAGTTCTAATTGTAAAATAATAGAAGAGTACTTTGAAATAATAATATGCATCACTTGATTTTTCAATGTACATTGGTAAATAAATATTGTAATTATCAAATATAATTGTTGAATAACGATTAATGATATCATTACCAAATATTAAAATTCACAAAGTAGACACAAAAACGATTGTTTGAAATTCTTGAGGTCAATTTGATAGATTTATAATCAAGCTAGACGATTTAATGTGTGCGATTCGTGAAATACTGTCGATTGTATTAAAACTAATGGTGTATTTATTTTTTTTTTTTTTTGTAAAAAAAGGTTTGCTGTAGTTTCAAAAAAATCTTTTTTGCATGAAATTGTTATTTATATGGCTAGTATTATTGGTGGTTGAAGTATGCTGTTTTAGCATATTTTTTGAATCGTGGTTGATTTTTTACCGGTTTTAATGTGTTGTATAGATATTTTTGTGGTTGTTTTCGACACTACATCCGATACGTTTTCAACAGGACAACAGGAATGCATGGTTTTTAGAGACAATTTGTCACCCGTTGTTTAAGTTTGCATCATAAGTAAACCAATAATGTGGTATTATAGCAATAGATACACTATATTACAAATATTACTAATAAACAGCGACACGATGATTCGACTATTATGTAATATCGTACTGTCATCCGAAGCTATTTAAATACGGAGTACAATAGTTGAATTCACGTGTGATTTCAACATTATCCAAACACGTAATTATTCGTATTTTATATTATATGCTATACGTAGAGATTCGGTATAACTGACCGCTATAAGATTAATCGTAAAGATATATTTAAGGCCACCACCAATCTGTATCAGTCGGAGATAAATGGTAGTGATATCATAGTTATGATATGGTATGGTAGGTACCTATATATTATATACAAGTTTGTTACAGATAAAGAGTATATTCAGGTATTGCAGTATAATGCCCAATCTTGTTATAAAACTTGAACAATTTTACACTATGTACAAAAATTTTACAAAATAACTAAAAAAAAAAAAATGGAAATTATAATGAAAAAGCTATGAAATAATTTTTTTTTTAAATTATTCCATTTATTTTTGCAATTTAGGCTATCACGCTATTTAAATATACTTAGTGTTTTTGCAGCTTTATGTTTGAATTTGTTTAACATTTTCGTTTGCAATTATACCTATCATATCTCTGACTGTCAAGATAGAAACAATTTCCAGCAACTTATTTTAATGAAATCAAAAATTCTATAGTGGCACTGTTTCAATTCAAACAAATTTAAAACGGGTAAGTAAAACTGTTATATCTTACCTACAATGGTGCCTACTTATATTTCATTATTATTTTTTACTGAAAAAATGAGTTTTTTATTATTTGATAAAGACAAGAAATAGGTATTTTGTTATTATTGTCTCCAGACATAATAAATCCTATAATAGATCACAGATTACTTCTTCTTTATCAAAATTAAATATATCAACTTTAATACTTTCACCTTAATAAAGTTAATTTTCTGAATGATTCATTTTTGAAACTTATACTTTTATATTATGTACCGATTCACTTCTT